AGGTAGGTGAGCTGCAGCTGGAGGTCAGAGGCTGAGGGGCGCTGGGCGGGTGGCCGCCAACAGGACTGCAGGATGTCATACCTGAGGAGGCGGGGCAGGTGTGAGTGTCGCAGGGGGCCAGAGAGAGAATAAAGGGTTCAGAGACATAGGGAGCTGGAGACTGGAGGCAGGGGAGAGAGAAGGACAAGGACACAGAGATGGAGACCGAGACCTAGACAGAGGGGGGGACAGAGGCCCACAGAGAGAAGGGACAGGAACCCAGAGAGAGGATGGCAGGGACCCAGAGAGAGAGGGAGACAGAGACTGGGTGGGGGCAGGGACCCAGGGAGAGAAGGGGACAGAGACCTGGGGGGGGAACAGAGGCCCAAAGAAAGTTGGGACAGAGACCGGAAGAGAGAGGGAGACGGAGATCTAGAGAGAGAGAGGGGTACAGACACCCAGAGAGGGGGCAGACAGGTGAGTATGGGGGAACGGTGGGTAAGGTAGTGTCCTGTTTTGGGCCACGAATTCTGGCTGACAGACACAGAAACCACCTTTCAGGGTTAAACCAAACCCACTGCCTTGGAATTGTTCCGACTCACAGTGACCCCCACTGGGTTTCTGAGGTGGTAAATCCTTACAGAAGTGGACTGCCCCATCTGCCCTCTGTGAAGCGGCTGGTGGGTTTGAACCGCCAACCTTCCGGTTAGCAGTCAAATGGCTTAGCCATCGTGCCACCAGAGCGCCTCTTTAAGGGTTAAACTAGGGGTCAGATCCCTGCTTGGCGGTGGTGAGACCCTCCGGGGATAGGGCGTAGGGGATGGGATGTGAAGGGATGCAGGGTCCCGGCCAGGGGTAGGCCCTCACCAGTAATCGGCGTAGGGCAGCTTGAGCCGGGGCCGCGCGAGCTTGACGTGCTGCTGGCGGACGACAAAGGCAAGGACCTCCTCGTCCGACAGGTGGCGGTAGGGCTGCGCCCCAAACTCAAACAGTTCCCAGAGGGTCACCCCCAAGGACCTGTGAGAAGAGGGGGTCAGAGCCCCGCCGGGGCCGTCCTGGGATCCACCCACCCGCGGCCACGAGCCCCTCACCAGACGTTGCTCTCTCGGCTCTGGTCCACGACCATAAAGGTTCCCTGCAGCTCTCCGAGGAGTTCAGGCGCCGCCCAGCGCAGCGGGATCCACAGACGCTCCGGGGTCAGGTAGTAGTCCTCCTGGGGGGCGGGGCGCGGTCAGGCGGGTGGGGGGGGACCCTGCAGCCCCCTGCCCCGACCGTGGGCGGCCCCCACCTTGTAGTTGCTGTGGGCGAGCCCGTAGTCTCCGATGCGCACGGTCAGGTCGGAGGTCAGCAGGCAGTTGCGAAGGGCCAGGTCGCTGGGGGCAGACAGGGTGGGGGAGGTGGTGTGAGCAGGAAAGGGGGCGCCTGGACTGCCAGCCCACTTTCTTCAGACTCCGCCCCTTTCCTCGCTTCTCCCCTGGCAGAAGCTCTGGTGGCACAGCGGTTAAAGCATTCGGATGCTGACCAAAAAGATCAGTGGTCTGAACCCACCCGCAGGTCCATGGGCGGAAGAAGAGGCAGTCGGCATCCCTAAAGGTTTACAGCCTTGGAAACCCTCTGGGACAGTTCTCTGGCCTCTAAGAATGTCGGAATGGACTCTGGATTTGGTTTAGTTTTGCTCCTTTTCCATGTCCTCCCGATCCCCTCCAGACCCCTCCCCCTCATCCTCCCCTCCCCTTCCGGCTCTTGCCCCTCCTCCCCTGGCTCCTCCCTTTACTTCCTGACCCCGCCCTTCCTCTAATGACTCCTCCCCTGACTACTGCCCTTCCCCTCTCCTGACCACACCCTTCTCCCTTGACTCCTCCCCCTCTAGTTCCCTCCCCTTCTAACTCTTGCTCCTCCTTTCCTAGCTCCTCCCTTTTCTCTCCTGACTCCTCCCCTCCCCTTCTGACTCCTCCCCTGGCTCCTCCTCTTGTCCTGTTCCCACCCCTCGCCTTCTGACCTTTCTTTCCTCTCCTCCCCTGATCGCTTCTCCCGCCCTCTAGACTCCTTTTCCTTCTTTTCTGCCTCCTCCTCCCTCTGCCCCACCTCCAACCGTGCTTCCCTCCCCCTCGTCTCTGCCACTCCAGGACTTCCCCTACTCTGGCCAGTCCCCTGCAACCACCCTCTTTTCCTCAGGCTCTTCCTCCCGCCCACCCCTCCCTGAGGCTCCCTCACTGGCCGGCTCCTGCCCACCTGTGCACGTAGTTGTGGGAGTGCAGGTGCGCGAGACCGCGAGCGATCTCCAGCCCCATCCTCTGCAGTGTCCGCAGGTCTCGAGGGGGGAGCTCAGGGGACAGGCCCTCGGGGGGCCGCTGGGCCCGCAGATAACGCTTCAGGTCCCCCTGGGGAGGACACAAAGCGTAAGCACCACGGAGCCCCTCGCAGGCACCCACACCTCCAGCCAGTCTTTGGCCAGGGTGGGTGACCTCAGTGCTCCGTGGGCCACCCCTCCGAGCCTCAGCTTCTCCCACTGGTTAGAGGACCTGCAGCACAGGCTTGTTTGGGGCACCCCCTTTAGTGCCACGCATGTGTACATAAGTGCTCAATAAAGTGAGTAGATGTCACTCAGTTGTCACCACGAGGACGAGGCTCCGTCCAGCTCCCCTTGCCCCCAACCCCTAGCCCCTCACCAGCTGGCAGAACTCCATGATCAGGAGAAAGGGCAGGGTCTCCACACACAGGCCCAGGCACTGGAGAATGTTGGGGTGCTGCAGGCTTCTGGGGGGAGGAAGGAGCTGTGTCAGGGAAATAGCTACCACACTTTGCATGACTTTATGACTTTCCCTCCAGCCTCCCCTCATATCCTGTCTAAAGCACCCCTCCCCACTGTCTCTGTTACATACTGTGTTACTCTTGTCACACCTCTAACCATCTTTTGATACTTTCTTTTTGTATATATTGTGTCTCCCCTTTACAAAAAGGTGGGCCCCTAGAACAAGGAATTGGGACATTTTGTTCACAGCTGTGTCCCCAGTGCCCCTAGAGGACAGAGTGGAACTGCACCACGGGGTCTCCAAGGCTGTCAGTCTTTACAGAAGCAAAGCCCAAACCACACCCACTGCCATCAATTGTGACTCACAGCGCCCCTAGAGGACAGAGTGGAACTGCCCCACAGGGTCTCCAAGGCTGTCAATCTTCACAGAAGCAAAGCCCAAACCACACCCACTGCCCTGGAGGGGATTCTGACCCACAGCGCCCCTAGAGGACAGAGTGGAACTGCTTCATATGGTAATTCTAGGCTGTAATCTTTGTCGAAGCAAATGACCAGGTATTTTTCCCTGGAGCTGCTGGGTGGGTCCAAACTGCCCACTTTCAGTTAGCAGTCAAGAGTTCAACCTTTGCCACCAGGGCTCCTTCTGTAAAGATTCCAGCCAAGTGAGTCCTATGGACACAGGGAGGAAGCAGGAAGGGTGCTGTTACATTGTGGGGACTGCAATCAATGTCATGAAACAAAATGTTCACGGATTGTCAGAAGGAAAACCAATTTGCTCTGTAAACTTTCACCCAAATCACAATAAAAACTTAAAAACTAAAAAACCCTTTTAAACGCACTGCCGTGAAATCAGATCTGACTCATAGCGACCCCTCCTTGGGTTTCCGAGGCGGTATCTCTACAGAAGTAGACTGCCCAACCTTCCTTCCGAGGAGTGGCTGGTGGGTTTGAACCGCCGGCCTCTGGTTAGCAGTCAAGTGCCTTAGGCACCCTCTTGGAGCGCTGTTATAGTCTGATACACACAGGGTTGCCATAAATTGGAATCCATTCAATGCAACTTTTTTTTTTTTTTTTTAATGGGCTCAATGGTAATGCCTGTGTCTGTGAGGGAGATGGACACATCACATACTTGCAGTCCAGCATGTGGCTCAGGTACCCCGGAGATGGGGCTCATCCTGGCCCAACTGTTACCCACCTAGTTTCCAATCCCAGCTTGCTGCTGACTGTGACCTCCTTTACTAAAACATCAAAGCCACTGCCTTCAAGTCGATTGCGACACACAGCGCCCCTAGAGGACAGAGTGGAACTGCACCACAGGGTCTCTAAGGCTGTCAGTCTTTACAGAAGCAAAGCCCAAACCACACCCACTGCCGTGGAGTTGATTCCAACTCACAGCGCCCCTAGTGGACAGAGTGGGACTGCCCCACAGGGTTTCCAAGACTGATAGTCTTTACGGAAGCCAACTGCCTCTTTCTCCTGCTGAGCAGCTGGTGGATTCGAACCACTGGCCTTTCAATTTGCTGCCGAGTGCTTAACCACTGCACCACCAGGGCTCCCTGTGACCTACTTTAGCTGGGAGAACAGCGCATCCCATGGCAGCCTGGCGGAAGAACCACCTGACGACGTGTGCATGAAGCACCTGGCACAGGCTGAGGCCTTAACAACGGCTGATGCTTCCAACACTGGAGAGTTAGGGCGGTGGCTGTAGAAAGACGCTTGTGCGCACTGCGCACCTACTTGTTGGAGCCAAGGCTGGCCCCTTCCGATCTCAAGTCCTCCCCAGAGTCCTGCTAGGCAGGAGATGCTCCTTGCTCCATCCAGGAGGCTCAGAGAGGTGCAGTGACTTACCCAGGATTACACAGCGGAGCTGAGACCTCATCTCAAGTCTGTGGCTCACTCTGCAAATGTTTACGGAGCACTGCCTGCCCTTGTGCTCAGGCATCGAGGTGGACCCTGAGCCGCTGGTTTGGATCTGAGCTGCCCAGGCAGAACTTTCTAAAAAGGTGGGAATGCAGTGTCCAATACAGGCGCCGCTGGCTATGGAGAACTTGAAATGTGGCGTCAGCCACTGAGGAACTGAATCTTTCATTTTATTTCACTTATATTCAGGAGCTCTGGTAGCATAGTGCCTAAGGCACTTGACTGCTAACCAGAAGGCTGGTGGTTCAAATCCACCAGCCACTCCTCAGAAGGAAGATGGGGCAATCTATTCTGTAGTGATACCACCTCGGAAACCCAAGGAGGGGTCACTAAGAGTAGGGTCCGACTCGACGGCAACAACAACCTACAACATATTTCAGTAGCCATATGTGGCCAGCTGTTAGCGCCACAGGTCTAGGGAGAGACGGATAGTGAGTGAGTAAACAGCGAGATGGCGTAAGGATGAGATCTCACGAGATGATGAAGCATCGCAGGGACCACCTAGAAGGGGGGTCAGGGAAGGCTTATCTGAGCTGAAGCCAGAAGGAGGAGGACAAGGAGCCCCAGTCTGAAGTTGGTGGTGGATGAGCAGGGAGTGATGTTCCAGGCAGAGGGAACAGCAAGGACAGGGGCCCTGAGTTCGAGTCCACTACAGCTGCCTTGGAAGAAAGCCCTGGGATGGACTTCTGAAAAACTCAGCCACGGAAAACTCTACGTCGCCCAGTTCTACTGACACACATGGGGTCGCCAGGGCTTGGAATTCATTCGGTGGCAACTGCTTTTATTGATTTTGGTTAATCTCACATCTCCGCTGCTTTTACGTGAGGACGCTCAGGTTCCCTGGACTCACTTTCCAGAAAACGCCAAGGTTCAGAGTGGAGGTCAGGGCAGGCCGCTGGCTTAGTGGCCACGCTCTCTCCCCCATCATGGTCCCTCTTGCGTCGCATCCCTGGCTCTGTCTGGGGGAAACGCCCTCTAGTGGCAGAGCCCAGAAGAGGTGGAGTCAGAATTCGAAGCCAAGCTGGACCCCTATATACTATATACTACGGTATACTGTATACTGCTTCAGCTCCCAAATGCTGTTGCTAGGAAGTGCAAACCTGGACGTCTGGGCCTGGAGAGCCCCTATCCACCGGAAGTCCCCGATAGCTACCTGTAAGGCTGGGCCTCCGAGATGAACTTGCGCTGCTCCAGGGGCCCGGCGCTGGCTCGGAGCTCCTTCACCACCACCTGGGCTGGGGTGTAGTCGGAGAAGATTTCCCCAAGGATTACCTGGTCGAGGGGGACCCAGGAGTCACTGAGTGCCCCTTCCCCAGCCCCATTCCCCAGAACCAGCTCCACCCCACCACACGCTTCCCAACCCACCCCTCCTTTCCAGCCCCCGCTTCCTATCCCATCACCCTCACCCCTCACGGGGCGTGGGGGGAGAGACTCACGGGCCCAGAGTCCAATGGATGCAAGGACGGATGGAAGGATGGGCGGACGGACGCGTGGAGAGCCGGATGGCGAGGCAGAGTGGTCGATGGAGTGAGGAGGGAGGCGCTGACGGACAGATGTAGGGGGTCGGGCGGGTTGGAGAGGGTGGACATGGGTGGGTGGGCGGAGGGAGAAGTGGGGGGGGCAGATGAGAAGTGACGGTGGGGGGCCGATGGACACAGAACAGGTACATGGTCCCGAATGTAGGGATCCCCTGCACCCCACCCCTGGCCTCACTCACCTTCCCAAACCAGCCGCTCCCAATCTCTTGCAAGTAGCTGAGATGCTGGCGGCTAAGGCCCAGGGGGGTGGTCATGTCTAGGGGGAGGTGAGAAGGGGAGGCCCTTAAGTCTCTCTCCCTCCCCAAGCACCACCAACACCACACCCTCCACTTCAGCGGAGGCTGGAGGCAAAGCCAACACCAATATATTTTCATTGGCTGCTCCCAACATTCCACAGCAGGCTCTCAGCCTCTCATTGGCTGGAGCCCAACATTCCAAGACCTCATTTCCACCTCCCTCATTGGCTGCCTACAAGATCCCAGCATCCAATCTGTCCTTCCCTTTGGCATCCCAAGGTCCTATGACGTGATGTTAGCCTCCCATTGGCTGTTGCCAAGATTGAGCCCTAGTCTGACTTCACCATTGGTTGCCTCGCGAGGGTCCCTGATCTGGCTTTACATTAAGCCATGGCTCCCCCTACAAGATAGTCCGGGGGAATGGGGGGTGCAAATGGTTAAGTGTTCGGTTACCAATAAAAAGTTCTGAGGACCCACCTGGGGGGGGGGCTTCAGGAGAAAGACCTGTCTTCCAAAAAATCAGCCATTACAAACCTATGGGGCACAGCTCTCCTCCCACACAGATGGGGTCCCTAGCGATCAGAACCTGCTCTGAGGCAACTAGTTGATTAACTCAAGATGTCTCCCTATTGGCTGCCCTGGCCGCCGAGGGAAGATTCTGAGGGCCCCAACCTGTCTGTGGGACCGTGGGATCTCTGGTCCGGGTTGAGGCCGTACCTGAACGTGAGGGCTGTGGGGCAGGCATGGGCAGGGAGACCTCAGCCAGCGGGAGAATGTAGACATCAGGCAGAGACTGCGAGGAGGAGGTCTCCTCGGCTGGAGGAGTGTATTCACCTGAGCAGTCCTCCCCTTCAGGGTTCTCAAATTCCTGGGGCCGGAGGGGTAAAGGGTGGGAGAACACAGGGCTGAGAGACACGCCATTATCCTTTCTCACCACCGTCCTCACAACTCCCCCACTCCCGGCCCAATTTCCGCCCCGGGCTGTGGAGGTCGCCCTAACTTCAGCCCCTAAGGTGCCTCCAGCTCTTGGACTTCCTCCCCTACACACACACCTGCCACCTGGGCTGGGAGAAAGGGCCTTGCTGGGGTGTTCCCTTAATGCAAAGCCCATCTTTAATACCCCACCCCCGTGCACCTCACCTTGAAGCCGACATCACCCCGTTTGCAGCACAGGCAGGTGAGGAGGACAAAGATGAAGGCCAGGAGGCCGGAGCAGGAAATGAGGACCACAGCGTACGGGGGAGCCAGAGGGGCCCGGCCCATGGCGAATCCATCTGTGGACACAGGGCTGGGCTGGGGTACCGGCTGCAAGTCCGACTCCCGAACTCCATGCCCCGCCCACCTGGCCAAGCTAGGACTACAACTCCCACAATTCTCTGCAACCAGGGGCCTCTGGGCAGAGGAGCCGGATGGCCCAAGGCATTGTGGGAATTGTAGTTTGGGGTCTCCCTAGGTGGTTGGGTTGGGGGTGGGGTCCCTTCTTCTCTGCCCCAAGCTTGGATCCCCCCTTCGCCTCCCCCTCCTCAATTTAGACTTAGATAAATTCCAGTGAGGGTTGAGGGAAGGGAGAGTAAAAGCCAGGCCTGGAGCACTCAGAATTGAAAATATGTTTCCAGGGCCGCCGCATCACCCACTATTTGGGGAAAATGAAGATCCCTCAACTGTAGGCTGGGAGATCCTTGCCCTGCGCCGGGAGCCCCAGCATCTGTCTCTTTTGGGGATGCCTGGCTCTCACGCATGTCCCCCCTCTACCCCCAGCCCAAGACCTTTAGCAGGGAATTCCGCAAGCCTTAGGTCTCCCCCAAATCCAGAAGCAGCCTCCCGTGCTCTGTTCCCCTTAGACACAGTGCTCCTCCTTCTAACCCCAGTCCTCCCAGAGGCCCTGCGCGTCCCCGGATCCTGCACACACCTGCACACACACGCGTGTGCACACACGTTGCCTAAGCGCACCCCCTCCCCGCCGCCCCCCAGCCTCCCTCCCACAGGCCCTGCTGACAGCGGCCCGTCGCCACGGCTTCCCAGGCCTCGCACGGCTGCGGGAAGACGCACAGGGAGATGACGGAGCCGCGCTTGGCACACAGACCCCCGGGCAGGCCGCCACGGGGACAGGGGTCGCCGGACAGACAGATGGCCTGACAAACTCACCGGGATGGGCCGGGGACGCCAGGCAGCCGGAGGCGGAGACGGCCGCTAGGACGATGAAGGCGCCGGGGGCAGGCATCTTGGCGAGGATGGAAGGGAGGTGGAGGAGGTGGCGGCTGGGGAGGAGGGGGGGGCGGGCCCTCAGCCCCCAGCCATGGGGACCCGCGCGACCCTGGCCTCCCCCCGGCCCAGGAGAGGGGCAGGAGACGCAGGACAGGGGGAGGGAGGGGCTGTTTACTGGCGCAGGTGCCCCCCTCCCCCTCTCTGAAGGGACAGACAAATGAAGGGACGGAGAGGCGGACAGAGGAGAGGAGCTGGGGAGCCGGGGTTGCTGGGGTGGGGGGGGGAAGACTGAGGGCCCCGCCCCCGAGGGCAGCCGGGATTGGGGGAGCTGAGAGCCTGTCAGAGGGAGGGTGGGAGGAGGGAGGATGGAGCGTCGTCATGGCAACTGGCTCCCGGGTAGCATTGGCTGCCAGGAGGGAGGGGAGGAGGAGAAGGGGAGGGACAGACAGGGACCGACAGACTCTTGGGGGGGCGCGGAGCCCATAGCGTCTGGCCTGGACACTGAGGTTACATGGCACCGGCTTGGACACGTGTGCCGCACATTAATGCAGCTGTCGCACCGGCACACGCAGCCCACACACAGCTGACACACGTCGTAGGGACGCTCATAGACAGGCGTGTCACATACAAAGGTGGACAGCCATAGGCAGACGGGGACACGTACACGTCACACACAAAGACGCAGAGATGGGCTGCACTGGGAACGTACGGGGAGCCGGCCCCCGGCACAGATGGACCCGTCACAAAGCCCCCCCCACACACCAAACACATAAGACCCACATCCACAGACACACATGCCACAGATCCACACAAACACCACATGAACACACCAAGACACACAGACACGCAGACATTCCACATGGGCAACAAAGAACCCACACTGACACAGCACCAAATACACAAACACATACACACACCACACAGCTTCACTAGTACTGAGATACGCAGGAACACTTCACACACACTGACAGACACACACATCACACAGACACACACATCACACAGACACACACAGCTTCACTAGTACTGAGACATGCAGGAACACATCACATGCTAACACACATCACACGCATGAGTACACACAGACACACAACACGCAGATACACACAGCTTAACCTGTACTGAGACCCACAGACACACACATCACATACTAGTATAGACACATACACAAGTATACAAACAACATATACATGGACACAAACATTATACACACAAACACATCCAATACATTCATGCATGTAGACGCAGGTCATGGAAAAGAGACACGCACACCTCACTCCATGGAGGCACACATCACACCCGCAGATACACAGGGGTACACACAACTCATGAATGGAAACAGACCCGCACCAACATACAAAGACACACACAAAAATCATGCCCCAAAGCACACATGAAGGCATCCCACGCAGACATGCAGACATGCATCAGATACAAATACATGCCGACACACAGCAAATACATAGATACACAAAGGTACACACACTTTATCCGAAACACACACACACACCTCCCAAATGTACACACGTCTCACACACAGTTACAACCATAGTTGCACAGAACAGACAATAATACACACACACCACACACGACTCAGACACACTACACACACAAAGACACAGAGACACACACATCACCAACACTCCCATTTCCTAGGAGTTGACAGACACACACTACACAACCATAGGCACCCATCTCATACAAAAGATACATGATCATATTTTTAATGCATTTATTTATTCTTATGGGTGTTACTATGGGCACGTCACACATCCTCACGACAGCCCGAGGAGGCTGGTACTAACCCCGTGCCCACCGCACAGGCCAGGAAACTGAGGCCTCTGCCCAAGGACGCGCAGCCGGAAGTGCAGCGCTAGGCCTGGAACCTGTTTGTCACAGACACAGACGCAACAGACAAGGACACACACATCACGTGCCACGCTGCCGCCGTCTCGGAGCCACACCCCATCCCACAGCACCCCCGAGCTGCAGACACACCCGGAAGCACGGACTCCCACCCTCGGCGCGGACGTCGCCATGGTCCGTGGGCACCTGCGATGCGTCCCGCGCCGGGTGAGGCTGGCCCGGAGCTGCTCACCCTAGTCGCAGCCTCAGCAACGCACCACGTGGGCGCCCCAGACGGCCCCACCCCCCACCCCAGCACGGCTCACCCCTGCCCCCAAGCGGGGGCCCCAGGCTTTGCACCCAACGCGCAGCCGTGGCCCCGGCGCGACTAGGGCAAGCACCGCAGCGCACAGCCCTGCGCATCCGAGACGCGGGGCAGAAGGCGCGGGGGTCCCGTAGGAGAATCTGAGGCATACTGCTCGTGGGTTGGGGTTCTAGGAGGAGATGGTGCCGCCACCCTGGCTCTGGGGTGACCTGACCAGGATGCAGGTGGAATGGAATTTGAAGGGCTAGGTCAGGAAGGACGCAGCGAGGGCGATGAACCTGGGGGGAAGCACAGGCTTGTGGGAGATGTAGTTCCACGACCGAGACTTATGGGAAATGTAGTTCAGGTTCATCCAGGCGCGAGACGCAGGTTAAGGATCTGGGCGGGCTCAGGCAGCGCTTAGATGTCAGTAGTCCAAGAGCCAAGAGGCGACTGCCTGGGTTTTTGGAGTTCATGTGGAAGAATTCTTGTCCTAGGGAGAGGCACGGAGTTTCTGGGTGGTGCAAACGGTTAACCGTTGGCAGCCGAGCTCTTAACGGTTTGTGCTATCTTTCCCCTAAAAAACCCCAAATCCGTTGCCATCGAGTGGTTTACAACTCATGGCGACCCCATGTGTTATAGAGTGGAACTGCTCCATCGGGTTTTCTTGGCTAGAATCTTTATGGAAACGGATCACCAAGCCTTTCTTCTGCGGTGCAGCTGAATGGGTTTGAACCACCAACCTTTTGTTTAGTAGCTGAGAGCAAATAATTCGTGCCACCCAGGGACTTCAGGGTGGGGTAGGGGCTAGGGCGTCCCTGAAACCCTTTCAAGGGCTCCATGTGGTAAAAAAATTATTTTCCTATTAACATCAAGACTGTGCCCTTTTCACTCTCATTCCGTCACAACTATATGGGGTTTTCCAGACGCTGCTGGGAGTGTGTGCAGTGGGACATTAGAACTGACAGAAGACAGAAGCAGCTGCAAGGATTGGCTGTCTTCCATAGGAACCAAAAAACCGAACTCAGCACCGTTGAGTCGGATCAGAATCATAGCGACCCCACCTTGGGTTTCAAGGTGGTATCACTGCGGAAGTAGATTGCCCAGTCTGTCTTCCATAGAGCTGGACACTAAACAGATGTGCAAAACTAAAACAGCGTCTCTCTTCGCACTGATTTTTAAATAAGTTATTAAAAAAAATAAAAACAGGTGTCCATGTTCACTTGCAATAGGGTAATTATTGCTGTTTTCCATGAATTAATAAATAATTTTGTTTTAAATTATCA